CTGGAGCCGGTAATAAAGCCCAGCCTTGTACTGTGGACTGCACTGCACAGTTCACCAAGAACTCACGCAACCCCTGATCTCTCTCTTTTCAGGACCAGCCCAGCCCAGCCACGCCTCAGCCTGGAAGGACAATTCCAGGATGAGGGTCTCAGAGCCCAGTGTGGACTCAGGCAGGATGTTTTACCCAGAGCGCAGGCAAGGGCCACCGAGTGAATGTACACACACAAAAGTCACGTTTGTAAAGAATCAGAAGGAGGCCAAGGTGGCCAGATTATTACAATCAGAGGGGAATGTGGAACCAGATGGGATTAGAGAGGGAGACAGGACCCAGTCAGACATGTTGGCCTAGAAAGTGAAATTAACCCTCAACTTTCTATAGAGACAGAAAACAGATGAGTGGTTGGTTGTCTGAGGGCAGGGCTGGGAGAGGAAGAATGGGGAGTGATTGGTTAAAAGGGGTGAGGTTTTCTTTTTGAGTGATGAAAAAGTCTCGGAGCTAGCTCGTGGCGACCGTCACACAATATTGTGAATGTACTAAGTACCACTGAATTGTACACCTCAATAATAAAAAAAAAGAATTGGTGTTAGAACTCAAATTCAAAGTTTGTCATCAAGACGAGCTCTCCTTCCCCATTGACTAAGCCTACACAGCCTAGTAGACAGTTTTTCTGTGGCTCAAGGACATCTTTCTGCTTGTGTACTAAGTTGCTTCAGTCGTGTCCGACTCTTTGAGACCCTACAGACTATAGCCCATCAGGCTCCTCTGTCCATAGGATTCTCCAGGAAAGAATACTGGAGTGGGTTGTGATGTCCTCCTCCAGGAGATCTTCCCAACCCAGGGATGGAACCCACATCTCTTGTGTCTCCTGCATTGGCAAGTGGGCTCTCTACCACTAGTGCCACCTGGGAAGCCCAAACACATCTTCAGAGACAGGCAAAATCAGGCAAACCTTGAACACCCTGCCATACCCACAGATAGGCACACTCAATCAACAGCAGAGCAACCCAGCAGAGAAGACTGGGAATTACCCACTGTCAAGTCTGGAAGATTTGATGCCTTCTGTCTGACAAGAGAGCACAGAGCCCAGTCAGGGGATGAATGTGATATAAAGGGTAGCATCCTAAAGTCCTAAACTCCATTCCTCAGCTCGTTAGGGAACTTCAATCTTTGAAATTTGTAAACCTTTCTTGAAGTTATTTATATGCTCAGCTAGTGCAGTACCTCTTGGGGATAAAGAGTTGCATAAATTTATACTACTCACTGGGCAAAGCAGAATTCCCTTTAGTTCTCCTAAAATTATCTCCTGTCAAGTTTTATGGGGATGGAGAAGAAGGAGGAATTTAGGTCTAAGATGTCAGGATTCCAACACATATTCTCTCTTTCATGATCAGCTTACCTTTCATTTCATCCTCTCTCAGACTTGATCTTTTCAGACTTAAAAACTCTAATTGCTCCCCCGTCTCTCTTGATCATTTTAGTTGCCTTTTCTATAGCTTTTACTTATTTGTCTTTCCTCTCTCTCTCTCTCTCAAAAGGGAGTGATGAGAATCTCCTGCAGTATTAAGAGACATTGAAGCAGCAGCATCTACCATTACTGAATCTGCTAAATGCCTGGCCCATCGGATGCATCTGTGCATTTAAAAGTGAAGGAAGTCAGAAAGAGAAAAAGAAATACTGTATATTAACCCACATAAGTGGAATCTGAAAAAACTGGCATAGACAATCTCATTTACAAAGCAGAAACAGAGACACAGACATAAAGAACAAACGTATGGATACGAAAGGGGAAGGGGCTGGGATGAATTGGGAGATTGGGATTGACCTCTGTACACCACTGTGCTGCGCTCAGTCGCTCAGCTGTGTCTGACCCTTTGTGACCCCGTGGACCGTAGCTCACCAGGCTCCTCTGTCCATGGGGATTCTCCAGGCAAGAATATTGGAGTGGGTTGCCATGCCCTCCTCCAGGGGATCGTCCCAACTCAGGGATCAAACTCAGGTCTCCTGCATTGGAGGTGGATTCTCTACTGACTGAACCACCAGGGAAGCCCAAGAATACTAGAGTGGGTAGCCTACCCCTTCTCCAGGGGATCTTCCTGACCCAGAAATCAAACTGGGGTCTCCTGCATTGCAGGCTGACTCCTTACCAGCTGAACTACCAGGGATGCCCATATATACACTATTATGTATAAAATAAATAGCTAATGAGCACCTACCATATAGCACAGGAGCTCTACTCAGTGATCTGCGGTGACCTAAATGGGAAGGAAATTCAAAAAGGAGCTGGTATATCACAGACATTCCCAGGTGGTGCTAGTGGTAAAGAACCTACCTGTCAATGCAAGAGACATAAGACATGAGGGTTCAATTCCTGAGTCAGGAAGATCCCCTGAAGGAGGGCATGGCAACCCCCAACTCCAGTATTCTTGCCTGGAGAATCCCATGGACAGAGGAGCCTGGTGGGGTACAGTCTATGGGGTCACAAGGAGTAGGACCCAACTGAGCAACTTAGCACACACACATGCATATGTACACATATAGCTGATTCACTCTGCTGTACAACAGAATCTAACACAACATTGTAAAGCAACTATTCACCAATAATATTTTTTAATTATAAAAAAATAAATAAAATTCACACCCTTTTCGTAGGCTTACAGGTCTACAGGGCCCTGCGCAATCCAGCCAGTGCCTTCCTATCCAGCCTCATCTCATATCACTCTGCTTCTTGCACAGACAGCTCTGGACACTCTGGCTTCTTTCAAACGCATTGAAGTTCTTTGAACCTCAGAGTTCTTATACCTGCTCCCCATTTAACAGAAGAGACACTCTGCCTGTTATGGGGAAAGCACTCCATATGTATTTGTTCAGTGATGATGACTGAAAGCTTAAGAACCTTCTAGGCTCTGGAAATTCAGAGATGAACAAAATGCCATCTCATCTCAAGGGAATCTCAGCCTCCTGGGAAAGAGAAAAGTAAAGCAGTGAGTCACACCCGCAAACAGCAACTGCATCTGTGCTATGGCGGGGACACAGCAGAGTTAGGGAACACAGAGCGGGGTCACATGATGGGTATCAAGAAAGGCTTCCTGGAGGAGGTGGCATTTAACATGAGCTTGGAAGGATGAGGAAGAACAGTCCAGTGGTGGAAGGGGAACCCTTTCCAGGCAGAACAAACCACATGAGTAGAGTCATTGAGGAGAAAGCTCTGTGAGTAAGCGGAAACAGGGTGATAGCAGATGACAATCTAGGAGACATGAAATGAAGGGTCTCAAGTAGCCAAGTCTTTTCAGAACCTCCCCAGAGCCCGACACCAAAACATGTCCAAATAGGAACAGGGAACAGCCCTCTAAGAGCATGGAAACTCCAAATGGAGCTGCTGCCATCAATACTGCAGACTCAGGACTTCCCTGGTGGTCCAGTGGTTAAAGACTCTGACTGTCAATGCACGAGACATGAGGTCAATCCTTAGCCAGGAGATATCCCACATGCCCCGGGGCAACTAGGTCCTCATGCCACAACAAGAGGAGTCCCTACAAAGAGAAGCCTGAGCACTGCAAGAAAATGGTAGCCCCTGCTCACTGCAACTAGAGACAAAGCCCTCGCACAGCACCGAAGACCCAGCACAGCCAAAAATAATTAATTTTAAATAAAAGAATTTTTAAAAATTCTACAGACTTACTCAGTTTCTTTCATCTCCTTCCTGTGGAGCAGATACTCCTTGGTGACTCAGATTCTAAAGGCTGTAGATATTCAACACCCATTCACTGGAGACCCACAACATGCAGCCATGACACCGGGAGTGGAGAAGATGCAAAGATTATCCCAGGCATTCAATTTTTACACACACACTGATGTTCTCACCCTCAGTCACACACACTCACAGGAGAGCCATCCCTCACCCTTTAGTCCAAGAGCAACTGGCAGCACCCTGCTGAGGACTGTCCCTCCTCTGAGTCTCCCACTCACGCCAGGACCTCCTTGAAGATGCCTAGGAGTCTACTGACCAGAGAAAAAGTTTCCATGATGACATGACAGGGGAGGTTCAAACAAACCCACATGGGAGACTTAGCATCTTGCCTAAAAGTCTCGGACAAGGTGATGCCCATGGGCAAGGGATCCCTTTTGCTTAAGTCTAGGTCCAGCTCTCCAACCAGCTGGAGCTCCTAGGAAGCAAAGCCTCTTTGTCCTGAATCCCACTTGGAGACATCCACCTGGGTGTTTTGGACTTTCAAGACTTTGGGTAGGTGTGTCCCCTATGCCTTTCTCGTGTATCTTCCTGGAAACCTCCTGCTGGCATCTTGAACATCTAACTCACGGTCACCACCACTGTGAAGCCTTCCTGGATCTCCCCAGTGCTGCCACAGCGCATCTGGTCATCTGGAGGGGCTGATGCCACCCCCACTAGATGGTGACCTCCCCAAAGACAGGGACCATATCATTCATCTCTCTCCCCACAATATTAAACTTCATGCAGGCACATGGTAAAAGCTTGGTTGAGATGAATAAATCAGAGAAACTGAGGGGGTTTGTTCTTTGTGTAAAATAGATATTAATAGCTAGTGGGAAGCTGCTATATAACACGGGGAGCTCAGTTCAGGGCTCTGTGACGACCTAGAGGGGTGGGATGGAGGGGTGGAGGGGGAGGCTCAAGAGGGAGGGGGATATATGTGTACACATAGCTGATTCAGGGATTCCCAGGTGGCTCAGTGGTAAAGAATCCGCCTGCCAATGCAGGAGACACAAGAAACACGAGGTTGATCCCTGTTTCAGGAAGATCCCCTGGATTAAGAAATGGCAACCCACTTCCGTATTTTTGCCTGGAAAATTCCATGGACAGAGGAACCTGGCCGGCTACAGTCCATGAGGTTACAAAAAGTTGGACAGAACTGAGCACTCACACAAGCATATAGCTGATTCACACTGCCGTACAGCAGAAACTGACATTGTAGAACAATTAAAATTCCATTAAAAAGAGGGGAGGCAAGTTCCTTTCTGGCTGATGAAAAAGTCACTGGATTACAAGGCCAGCTTCCCAGCTGCCCTCATGCCTGAGGATACCAGTAAGCACTTGGCTTGATGGCTCTGCTAGAGGACATGACTCCTGAAGACTGTACTTACTGGTGGGTTGCTTTGCTGAACCGCCTCACACAGTCCCACCTTCCTTCAGCAACTGTGAGACCCTGAGCTTAGCTATGTTGGCTCAGACCTGAAGCGTCCAGCTATCACCCTCTGCAACAATAGCCTCCGGGGCTAGTGTAGACAGAGAAGCATGCAGAGCAATTCTGAGCATCCTTCCAGACCACCTGGCCTCTGCAAGTGATGCCACCAACAGCCCCAACTCCTGCTTCAGACTGCAGATCAGCTCCAAGCCAACACCCCATCTGGCTGCACAGGACAGAGGCAGGTCCCAGACAGAATGCTGTAAGCCCCCTTTCCCCTACTCCTCCCCTCAAGGTAAGACGCTCTAGAGGTGATTCAACAGACAATCATAAAACTGCTCTCCAGGCTAGAAGAGGGTCAGAGATTGGGACCACGAGGCTTGAAAAAGGACACAACAGCAAGGTCTCTAGGTTTTATTTGTCCCTTTAATATGTGCCAGACTTGGCACGGAAGAGTCCACAGCCCAGAACCCCTAGGTACAGACAGAGAATTCAAGAAAAAGAAAAGGAAGCCTGCTCTCTCCAGCAAAGGAGCTGGAAAGGCAGAAGACTAGCAATGTCTTGGCAAGGAAATCCTTACCCAGTGGCCCACTCTGCCCACAGCAGCACCACCTGGGCAGGCCGACCTATTCCCACCTCATGAGGCAAACTGGATAAGTGTCCTCTTGTCCCACCACATCCACCCTTTCATCTCATGGAGATGCTGGGGTCCATCCCCTGGCAGGCCCACCCTCCACCTCTGGGAGCTGCCTCTGGGAACCCCACACCTCGCACTCCTCTCAGATCAGAACCCAGGCTGTCTGCCCCCATCACACCTGCTCACCAGGCCCCCACCTGTCCCAGCTACCACGCTGAGCCCTTCGGGGCACCCACACTGTAGCTGCCACCCACCCTTCAACATTCTTTTATTTCCAGGTTACACTCTCTTGCAAGGATCCCTGAGCTGCAGAATTTAATGAAACATTCCAGAGTCTTCCTCGCCAGAATAAGTATATGCCCCCAGCAACAGCAGAGCCAGAGGTTCTTGATAATAGCCCCTACACTCCCAAAGGACTTCACCAGTGGCTCAGGCAGTAAAAAATCCGCTTGCAATGTAGGGGACCTGGGTTCGATCCCTGGGTCAGGAAGATCCCTTGGATAAGGGAATGGTTACCCACTCCAGTATTCTAGCCTGCAGAATTCCATGGACAGAGGAGCATGGCGGGCTACAAACCAGGGGGTCACAAAGAATCAGACACAAGTGAGCGACTTTCACTTTCATTTTTTCACTTTTCACATTCTCTAAACACTCAGGGACCCCAAGCCTCAAATCTGCCTGAGTCCTTTTCCATGGTCCTAAAACCAGGTTCTTTCACGAGGCATCAGTTTACCCCGTTAATTTCTCCTCTTCCCAAAACCCATTTTCAATTTCGCAGACATGTCTTGGGTGTCACTTGTAGCTCAGCTGGTAAAGAATCCACCTGCAATGCAGGAGACCCCAGTTCGATTCCTAGGTTGGGTAGTTCCCCTGGAGAAAGGATAGGCTATCCATTCCAGTATTCTTGTCTGGAGAATTCCATGGACAGAGGAGCCTGGCAGTCTACAGTCCTTAGGGCTGCGAGTCAGACACAACTGAAGCAACTTAGCCCAGAGAACAGGGTGGCACTGGCCCAGGTTAGCAGGCAGAGAGTTAGGGGGTGGGGAATGCCTTCCCCAAGAGCCATAGTGGAGATTTGCTCCAGTTCACAAACCTAGAGTCATCAACTTCATTTTGAGTGATTTAATTACGGTTAATTAAGTGGATTAACTGCTTTGTATTATAGAGTAGAAATAAATACCTCTTTCCCTTAGGTCTTAACACTGTTGCTTCAACCCCAAGTTCACAAGTGTGCTAGACATGTGTGTTCTAACCAGTTCATCTCAGGTGGATAAAACTAGATGGAGCAAGACCAAGAAATCTGGGGAGGCTGCTGCTGTCCTTGAATGGTGGTGGGTGGACCACACTTTCAGGGACCTCACCACTGACCTCGCCATTGGTGGATCCCTCTCAAAGGTTCTAGGCTACTTACACGTATATTAATATCATCAGCTTATAGGTTTCATAAGTATCACTGAACCCTGTGTGACATATAATCTCTTTTTTTGGTCCTACAGCTCTAAGGCAATGTCTCTCAATGTATGATCCACAGACAGCCTGCAACAAAATCACCCCAGGTTGCCTGTTAAAAGGAAGATTTCTGGGTTCCACTGAGAACTTCTGATTCAGGGTCTTAGGAAGTGTGGCCAGGAAGACACATTTTAAATGAGCCCCTTGATATTTCTACTACTCCACATTTTTAGTAATTTTTAAATTTATGTTCTCCTTACCAGATCACGATGATAATAATGATGATGTTGATAATGATGGCGATGGTGGCGGTGATAACAATGGTAATGATGACGGTAGTGGTGGTGATGATGGTGATGATGGAAGATACAATAAGATTCCTTTACATCTTTTTGGTGCTTTACTATCATAAAGCTCTTTCACTGTCATAGTTATTTCATGTAACTCTCACCAGGACTGGATTGCTGCAATCTCATTTACAGATGATGAAGGAGCTTAGGTTTAGAGAGAAGTTAAAAGACTTCCCAAGCTCCTCAAAGTATCTGCTCTGAGCCATTTCCTTTTCTAGAGGAGACAGTCTTACATGAGTCAATTCACTCTGAGCCTATCCCCAGACACTACAACCTAGAAGTTGATTGAGCAGAACTGATCGGGTCTCAGCTTAAGATCAGACAATCACTCAACTCAAGAACTAATCACAGGACCTTGAGTCATGTTCTGTGCAGCCAGAAAGACTCCAACTACCTGAGCCAACTACTCCTTATCTGGTTAAGACCTACAAACCTCCTTACCTTTCACACCCATCAGAAATACCATATGGTAGTCAGAAGACCTGGCATTAGATTGTTGTGACTGTACCTCTGCTTACTAAATGGGTATCCCTAGATCCTAAAAGAAATCTCATCCCCTATAGAATGACAAGTCATAATAAGATTAAATGAAAATTACACTGTGAAAGTGAAAGAAAAGTGAAAGTGTTAGTCATTTAGTTGTGTCTAACTTTTTGCAACCCCATGGACCATAGCCCGCCAGACTCCTCTGTCCATGGAATCCTCCATGCAAGAATACTGGAGTGGGTTGCTGTTTCCTTCCCCAGGAGATCTTCCTGACCTAGGGACCAAACTCGAGTCTCTTGCACTGCAGGCAGATTCTTTACCATCTGAGCCACGCATGGCAGATTATGCTTGTAAAGATGCTCTGTAATTGGAAAGTGTATAAACATTATCTCATATGACTGTTAGAATCATTATCATCTTTTGATCTCAAATTCAGACCTCCTTCCCTCTCCTCCCTGCCAACTCTCCTCACCCACCCCTGAACCAGCCACCAGCATGGCTACATAAGCCCCCAACATCCCAGCAAAGAGTGGTTAGCAGTAATTCCAGGGTTGCTTTTCCTCCACAATTTGTAGCAGTCCAGAAAGGCAAGTCACAGCCATCAACTGTGTACAGAAAAGACAGCATGTCACCAAAATCACCAAACGGATCATTACCTCCTTGGAAGTCAAGCAACATAGATTAGAATGGAAATTATTTGGGATCTTCATCAGTTGGCTGAAATTGTTCAATGCTCAGCAATTCATTGAGGTTTGCTACCAGATCATTGATTTTAGTGGTGAGTGTCTGTGTGTCTGTGTGTCTGTGTGTGTGTGTGTGTGTGTATGAGCAAACTTGAGTGTGTGAAGGCATGAGTGTGCATGTGTATGAGTGTCCATGTGTGTACTCCATATTTGATTGAGGCTCAAACAGAAAAGAAAAACAGAGGCTACCTCAAGTTCTCAGAAAGCTGACATTGCACCAAAGATCTGGGTATGGGGGCTTCCAGTTTCAGTCAGTCTTGCAAAGTCCTCCCAGGGCCACAAAGAGATCCCTACCAGACAGAAGGGTACGGAGGGAGAGGTTCTCAGTATGAGACTGCTGGGAAATTCTTCCCAGAATACAAAAAGCACTACAGCCAAGAACAGGGTAACTAGAAACCCAAGGACATCTTTAGAACCAGGCATCCTGAACCCAATGTGCCCACCCCTGGTTCACACTGTGCCTCATCTCCACCTGATCTGGGATCCAGGTTGCCCAGTCTCATCTGCTGGGCTCCTGGAAACCAGGGCAGGAGTGTCAAATCAAGAGCAGGAAGAAAAGCTGAGCTTTATCAAGCACTTACTATGTGAAAATAGAGAAGGAGATCGCAACTCACCCCAGTATTCTTGCCTGAGAAAAATCCCATGGGTGCAGGAGCCTGGCAGGCTACGGTTCATAGGGTGGAAAAGAATTGTGTCCGACTGAGCCTTAAGTGCACTGCCGTGGGCCAGGCTCTGTGTTAAATGCCAACTGGAGATGTTGGCAGGAGATGCATGTTTCACGTCCATCACTTCATTTGACCCCACAAAACCCCTCTGAACTGGGTTCTGTTATCATCCTCAGTTAATAGGTGGGCACACTGAAGCTCACCATGGGCAAGTGACTTATGCAAGGTCACAAAACCCATCACAGGGGCAGGCTGGATTCCATCCCCCATCTTACTCTAAAACGTGGCACATAATTGAATTGTGTCAGTGCAAACCATTACTCAGGGCCTGGCCCAAGGAAAGTGTAGATCTATAGTGCTGTTAGAAATCGAAAGCTCTGTGGCTAGATTATCCAATTCAACACCCAGTGGTGCTGTCCACCAGCTCTGCTTTAGCCTTTCTGTGGCTCAGTTTTCCTGTTTATAAAATGGGTACACTCCGCTTCACAGAGCTTTAAGAGGTGTTTACATGAAGTCATGTAGGTAAAGTCATCAGAGGTCCTGGCACATGTAAATATTCAAAGGCATGTATTTGAAATAGAGGGATTTAAAGAGGCTGAGAAGCCAAAAAGGAATAATGGGACAATCCAGACATTAGCAACCACAAGAAGTCACTAACCTTCTGGGCTGGTGGGACAAAGGCAGAGAGGCGTTAAAAGAAATCAGACTAACATATACATTGCAGGGGGTAAATAGCTAGCTAGTGGGAAGTTGCTATATAACCCAGAGAGCTCAGCCAGTGCTCAGTAACAACTTAAAGGGGTGGGATGGGGTGGGCTGGTGACAGAGATGTATACCTGTGGCTGATGGCAGAAATCACATTATAAAGCAATTATCCTCCAATTAGGACTTCCCAGGTGACTCAAGTGGTAAAGAATCTGCCTGCAACGCAGGAGACTCATGTTCAATCTCTGGGTCAGGAAGACACCCTGGAGGAGGAAATGGCAACCCACTCCAGTACGCTTGCCTGGGAAATCCCATGAACAGAGGAACCTGGTGGGCAATAGTCCATGCAGTCATGAAGAGTCAGACACAACTTAGCAGCTAACACTTTCACTTCACATCAGGGGTCAGGATCATTTAGCTTTATAAGTTCCTGGGGTCATGTTAAAGTTCTGGGGATTCCTAGAGGTGCAGACTAGAGCCCTCAGAGGCTTCCAGGGTCTCCTTTCCCAAGGAGATGGGAAGAAAGAGCAGGAAGAGAGAAAGGGGAGCGAGGGCGCGAGCTCAGAGGAGAGGAGGAGGGATGGGAGAGAAGAGAGTGCTCAGGTCCCGGAGGCTTGGGAGCTGCCGTAAGTAGGCCATAGGGTCTAGGCTGAGAATGTGTGATTAGCACCGCTATTCATTTCACCAGCTCAAAATAGGTTCTCTCCTCAGAGACCATCATCCCCAGGTCAGCCGCAGCCTCCGATTAGCCAAGGCCGCCACTGGGCTGCGACATGAGAGTAAACAACCCTCCAGAGGCTGGGAGGGCCCGACATGGACCCCAGGGACCTGTGCTCCTGGAGGTCATTCCCCAGCCTCCCAGCACCCCAGGCACCGGGGCACCCTGTACTCATTGCTACTAACCCCCCCGACAAGGTGAGTTCACGCCCCTTCACAGATAGCGGAGCCCAGCCATCGTGGCAGTAATTGGCAGGGCCTGGGGCCAGCCCCGGGGGAGACAGTGATCTGGGAGAATATCCTGTCTTCTGGATGTCATCCTCACTTATCCTCAGGGTGCTGTGGCCCCCCAGTCTCTCGGGGAGCTGTCGCACACTCCCTCCCAAGACAGGACCTGTCATGATTAAAACCACACAGCCCCTCCATCCAGACCCCTGTCGTCTCTCTGCCCGCCGCTTCTGCTGCCAGACCAGACCACTTTCTGTCCTCCTGTGAAGACTCTCCTTCAACACGGGTGTTGGGAAGCAGGGGCCGGTGGGCATAGAGACCCAGAGTTACAGCAGCAGTTAATTGCCCGGTGGTGGCAGGGCCGACGCAGGGAAGTGTCTGCCTCACAGGCTGCCTGGGTTCTCTGCTGATCACTAGGAGGAGGCCAGCTTCAGCATCTTCATCCCACAGGGACACATGGAGGATGACAAGTCGGCCGGGGCTGAGCACGATGCAGCTTCGAATACAGCGGCGGCGGCTCAGTGGCCTGAGGGCACGCTCCTTCTGGCCCCTTGCAGCCCTCACCGGCTGGCACAGCTAATTGGCAGCTATGGGAAGCTAGTTGAGATGCCATTTCCCAGGACAGGTCCCGTTACCCAGCAGCCCCGATTGCCCTCTCGCCTCAGTCCTGCCCTGCCGGGTCTCCTGGGCCCACTTCCGGGTCTCCCGGACCCACTTCCGGGTCCATCGCCCGCACAGAGCCTCTCCTGACTACTCTGCACAAGCCGGGTCGGGGGGTCACTTACAGATGGGAGACGGGCTGTGCCCGAAGCACAGGGAGCGAGGAGCCATTTCTGTGCTGGAGCTACAGCAGATGATGTCAGATGAGTTCCAGGCAAGGCCCGAGGGTCCCAACCGGCCGTGCCCCAAAGAGGGGATGAGTGCCAGCCCCAGCCTTCTCTGGGGGATGAGGGGCTGGGTGGCGCCTTCAGTGGGCAGATGGAGAACAGGGTGTGAGACGTGCTGCAGGTCGGTGGTCCCAAAGGAGCTGTCCAGAGGCAGGTCACAAATTCCAGTGGGGCCAGGCCAAGCCCACAGGGACTGAAGACAGTCGCTGCAAGAGGCAGTTTGGAGTGAGGCCCCAGACCAGGCCCAGAGAGCCGAAGAGCGGACTGCAGGACTGCTTCCCGAGCTGGTTCTGTAGCCCCAAGGAAGGCGCACTCTGAACCTTTAAAGGACACTGGAGAGGACCCAGAGGAGCCCAGCATGGCAAACCAGAAAATGGCCAATCAGGCAGACTGGGCCTGGCTGTGGGCAAGATCCAGTGCTCTCCACCCCCACCCCCCAGCCCAGGGAGCACAAACAGTCAGAGAGCAGCCTGCCCACCTAGCCCGGGAGCCTCCATCAGCCTCTGCCCAGGGCTGGCGCAGCTGCTCCCCAGCCCAGCCCAGCACAGCCCCAGCCCAGGAATGTGCTGGCCACCCTCCAGGCAACACACAACCCCTTGTGCTTGGGATGCCCGGAGGGCTGCCTGTCCCTCTGGGCAAGCCTCCTCCCCTCAGGGCTGGGAGTGGGGCCCAGGATTTTGTCTTGGCTGGGGTAACGTGATGCCTGCCCTTGGCAGCATTGTTGAGGAGGCTGGCCAGGTCGGGGGCAGCTGCCCACAACCAACTGCTTTGGGCAGATAGTGTGAGGCAACTCTCTGTAAAACCACTGCACACTGCACAGGCGGGGTGCCCAGAGATGCCCATAACCACACGGGGTGACACAGCTCCCCAGTCTACCCCACAGCCACAGCACCCAACAGGCAATGCACATCCTGCTGATGCGTCTTAATTTCTAGCTATTCCATCTTGATCATGTTAGGGATTTGGGTTCACATAGGAACTCTAACGGGGCTTCCCAGGTGGCTCAGTGGTAAAGAATCCACATGCTAATGTAGGAGATACAGGAGATGCAGGAGACTCAGGTTTGATCCCTGGGTCAGAAAGATCCCCTGGAAGAGAAAATGGCACTCACACCAGTATCACGGGAGCCTGGTGGGCTACAGTCCATAGGGCCACGAAGAGTCAATCAGGACTGAGCATAGACTCTTATATTGATCTTCCAAGAGTTTCAAGCAGCAAGGTGGCAGTAGCATGGTGGAAGGAGTTATTTTCATTAAATTTTATTTTTTAAATTATGCAATAGTGAATACTTGTGAGAGACTTTATGTAAAATTCTTAAGAACCAGAACATCATTAGGACCACAGTAATAGACCCCTCTGCTCCTTCACTCCCCACTGCCTCCCCATCCAGGGAGAGTTTCATGAGCTGGGATAGGCTGGAACACATTGAAGGCCTATGAGGAAGGAACTAATAACGTGGGGAGGGCCTCAGGGGAGTGCATGTTGGGAAAAGTGGACCAGGAAGGCTACGAGCACGGGAGAGGCGAGTGGACAGCATCGTCATTCCTTGCCCTGAGCCCGGAGGAAAGGAGGTGAGAGCTGATGCCAACTTAGACAAGTTGAAAGTTGTTGAGGGAAGTTTTGTCCCATAACCCTCATCTTCTCTTCAACAGAATAATAATAACAATGAGGCCAGTAATGAGGTGAGGAAGGACCTTGAGGAGAGTGAACTGATCAGAGCACATAAAAGCTACTGCCAAGCAGAATGGAAGGCCCGCGCAGTGGATCTGTAGTGGCTCCACCTCTTCCTAATTATGTAATTCACTCCAAGAGCTCTCAGCCAGCCAGGTGAGGAAGGTTGGATTCATCCAAGGTTCCAGAGTCATCCGACATTCAGGCTGTTGATCAGAATTGGTGCTGATTAGAACTGGGTTACATAGATACACCCCTAGGATCTTGGCCACCCAGAGGAGAATCTGACACAAGAAAGGGGCTGGGAGGTAGCCTGGGGGCAGGGGGAAGGATCGAGGGACTGTAGCTCGGGTCAGATGACACAGTCAGTGCCTTCGGTAGGTGTCAAAGGAGCCCCGGGAAGTGCTCACAGCGTTTGCATCTGACTTTGACACCTATCAGCTGTGTGGCCTTAGGCAGATTTTTGAACATCTCGAAAGCCCCGTGAACTTATTCATAACGATTCCTCTCTCCGGGGTGCGGGGAGGGTGTCACAAGGCTCAAAGGAAAGAACAGAGCAAGTTCATCGTATGATTGTAAGCTGTGTGCAGATGTCAGCCTTGATAAATCAGGCAGGAGGTCACGGAAGTCTTCCGGTTTCAGGCAGGATGGGGGCTCAGCAAGTATTTCCTCCCCATCATCCGTGTGGCTGCTTTTTCCTCACTTTGCCCTTGTCCTCCCAGAATCTCATTTGGCTGGTTTCTGACCATTCTCTAAGACCCACTGGAGTCAATTTGAATTCTAATTGGATCCTCCAAAGTGCCCCTCCAGCCTCAGCTGGGTGTCATCTATGAAATTAATGAGGGTGCTCTCTGCTTCATCATGTAGTTCATTGCTGGAAACATTAAATAGCCAAGGGCTCCAGATTTCAAATCGCTGCAAATGGCCTCTCGCACTCTCCGAGGTTTTACGTGTGTGTGTGTGTGTGTGTGCGTGTATATATGTGTTTCAAGACAGACAGTGGGAAGGCAGGCTCTCTTCCTCCTAGATTTTAACCATCACTCCCACCCCAACCTCCATTCTCATCCAGAGAGGTGAGAATCAAGGCACAAAAAGGACACCAAACATTTTGCAGTAAAACTTAAGGCCCCCTGCACTTCCCGGAGAGCCCCGCACCTCTATGCCCTGAGACTTTCTTGAGGGGACCCTGGAACCACAGCCTTGACCCTAACTCCTATCCAGTGCTCTTCTAGGGACCTCTGAGTCATGATTCTCTCCATTCATAATGTTTAGCACAGAAGCAATAATTTACTGCTGATAGAGGATTCTCCAGGCACCAGCCGGAAATATCTTGAAATGCAACCATTATCTTGCAAGTCAGTCCTGAGATACAGACCCTGGAAAGTGAAAGCGTTAAGTCTCTCAGTCGTGTCCTACTCTTTGCAACCCCACAGACTGTAGCCTGCCAAGCTCCTCTGGCCGTGGAATTCTCCAGGCAAGAATACTGGAGTGGGTAGCCATTTCCTTCTCTAGGGGATCTTCCTGAACCAGGGATCGAACCAGGATCCCCTGCACAGCAGGCCAATTCTTCACTGTCTAAGCCACCAAGGAAGCCTCCAGACCCTGGAGGCTGGAGGCTGCATGCTTCTCGCACCTGCTGCCGTGCCTCTTCCCTTCATGTCTGCCTGGTTCTCAGAGACAGCACCCAGCATTCATTCAATTGTATTCACTACCAATGCAGCACCAGCCTCGGGCACTGGCACACAGCCATGAACGAAACAAACACATCTTGTGTTAGTTATGCTTCAGTCCAAGCTCTCTTCTATTCCCTATCTCCCTCTGATCTCCCAAAAGAGCTGGTCTCCACATACCAGCCAGATCCTAGCTGGCAAATCCTCTGCTGACTTCTTGCCCTACATTATTAGGAAAATCCCCTTTCACTGCTCATCTTCTGCTTCAGTTCCAGCTCCTGGCTCACCCCAAGGTCTTCCACATCATCTTTGTCACCTCCCTTGCCCTTTTCTATTTTTCACCATCTCTGTACCTTGTGTCTAAGCAGGCATTTTTTCTCTCTGTTATAGCTCCCGTCCTCTTTTCACCCGAGCCATGACCAGCCCTCCTTCTCTCTTTCCCTTTATGTCTCTCTCTTGCCTTTGTTGTTGCTGTTCAGTCACTAAGTCATGTCCAATTCTTTGCAACCCCATGGGCTGCAGCATTCCAGGCTTCCCTGTCCTTTACCATCTCCCATAGCTCTCTCAAACTCATGTCCATCGAGTTGGTGAGACATCTAACCATCTCATCCTCAATCACCCTCTTCTCCTCCTGCCCTCGATCTTTCCCAGCATTAGGGTCTTTTCCAATGAGTCAACTCTTTGCATCAGGTGGGCTAAGTATTAGAGCTTCAGCATCAATCCTTCCAATGAATATTCAGGGTTGATTTCCTTTAAGATTGACTGGCTTGATCTCCTTGCTGTCCAAGGAACTCTCAAGAGTCTTTTCCAGCATCACAGTTTGAAAGCATCAGTTCTTTGACTCTCAGCCTTCTTTATGGTCCAACACTCTCATCCATACATGACTACTGGAAAAACCATAGCTTTGACTGTACTTCCAGCTAATGAGTCAGCCAACAAGAATTTACATCTACAAAGCAACTCCTTTGTAACTCTACTCTCTGGCCCCCAAAGGGGTCTGGCTTTGGAGCTTCTATAATGGGGACAGTGCTCTACATCAAATGCTGGCACCTAAGTGTCTCATATCTTAGGGTTTTCCTGGGGGACGTTGGGAAAGGTTCCTTTGTCAGGGATCAGACCCAGTGCCCGTGAGGTCCACTGGCACATCACTCCTTCAACAATGATGATGGCGGCCATACCTGACTTGGTACTATTCACCAGAAATCCAGAAACGATTAAGATGCACCACCGTGCATGAGACTAACATGGAAACAGGGAGAATGAGAACAAAGGCCGCAGGCAAAGCACAGAGGAAAAGAAATGCTTCTCTTTTCCTGAGGAGATCAGGAATATTTCATAGAGGTGACATGCTGGGTCAAGAAAAAAGCAAGTCAAGAAAGTATACGCAATGACATTGTCTTTAACTTGGAAATCTGTCAGCTCTGCAGAGGAATATTTTTTGCCTACCCTCGTGAGCACACAGAAGAACTGAAACTCGTGTGTCCACATGCATCCAACACTCGTATTTACACGTGTGCCAGTGTTGTCAGACCTGGAAGGAGGGGTGGTGATATGTTTCCCTGTTTCCTAGACTTTTTGAAATTAATTTTTATTGGAGTACAGTTGTTTCACAATGTTGTGTTAGTTTCAGGCATACAGCAAAGTGGACTGGCAATTGTGTACACGTATATTCCCTCTTTTTTTTATTTCCTTCCTTTTTAGGCGCCATAGAGCATTAAGCAGAGCCCCTGTGCTTACAGAGGAAGGAACTCAAGGGGCAAGTGAAGGTCGCCCAGTCATGTCCAACTCACTATACAGTCCATGGAATTCTCCAGGCCAGAATACTGGAGTGGGTAGCCTTTCCCCTCTCCAGGGGG